GGACCCTCTCTGGCCAATGGATACTGCCTGGCCAATTTGATACTGTCTTTTGCCACCCTAGGATCTGCTTGTAAATTTTGATGTCTTTTCTTACAGGAGCATATTTTTGAAAGTCGACCCGCCCCCATGCTTTTGCATCCTTTTGGCATAATACTAGTAATATTAGGCGTTAAATGATAAATAAGAGGAGATTTGGCACTGTTAAACAAGTATGAATTCCCCTAGAAGTGGTTCTCTTCATAATTTGGCCAATCTTAGTAGTACAATACATGAATAAAACTTTCAATACATTTCAAACTTCTGATCACAAAATTCACACATAAGGTATAAAATAACCTATATGAGCCAACAGAATAATGCATTTCTGCTGATCTGCCTAGTGTTTAAAACAAAACGGTAACTGTAAGTTAAAAGTCACCTACTTGGCCTTTACAGTTGCAGCATCTCTGATCTCCAAGAGTCTCAGCTGCCCTCCGCTGCAGAGCACGTACTCCTCGCTAGAGGGCGCTGTTGCCCGGTGAGGTTCCACTGTTGCCATCATCTTGTCAGCTGTTTTCCAAGGGTACAAAAATTATATCTCAAATGAACCTTGAAATCTAATTCTTTTCGGTCGAGAGAAACTATCAGGTGCTTCTTGAGGGATTTTTTGAGAGGAGAGGAGGCCCATGGCCATGTCGGTAGCCTAGATGTCAAACATTTCTAAGGCTAAAACAAGGACGTTACATCAAACTCCACGGCTCTAGTCTAAGGCCAAATGTGTCCCGAAGAGATCCCGCTGAATTAGACCATGTTTCATTGGGATCAGGTTGGCCCTAGAGCCGAGGCGCTGGCCTGTGTAAGCCCTGGGAACAGTCTGGCATCCAGGCTACCATCCTAACCCTGACACCTACTGTGCCGGGCAGATTATGGCGGGAAACTTCGCAAAGTAAACACATTCCGGAGACACACACACATAATTATTATTTCCTCTACACACTATACCTAACCATACTCTACTCTACATACGCCTATATGGATTGGTAAGTACAACAAGAAGTCTTACTCTAACACGTTATCACGGCTTCGGAATAATTTTCAAAAGCACAAAATTCAATGATTTCCCAAAACAAAATTATGATGCTAACTTTCTGCCGGGAAAATACTTCGGAGATACCTTTCCACACTCTCCGAAATCATATCTAGTACATAACTGCGATTCCCATGAGTTTGGATACAAGCACATGTAACTTACCTTCTATGATTTTGAAGATCTAGTCGCAAATTTAAGAGGAAAGTTTGAAGAAAATCGGGACGACGTCTGTCGTGGCCTTCTCTGGTCAAAGTTCTGCTCGAAATGCGGCCCAGAGGGTCCAGGCGAGATTTTGATGTCACAATTCCCGCCAAACCGCATCACAAAACAAATCAATCCGCCGTGAGGCTTAATACAGCGCTAACTTTAATGTAGAAATCTATTTATAGCTTCTAATGAAATCTTATACACTCACTGGAAGTTATCTCTATAAAACGTATGAAAAATGCGAGCTAGATTGTTTGGTTGGTGGTCAAAATGTAGTAACTAAGAAAGTAGTGCGGAGGAGGCGGTACCGGATAAACAGGGAGTGAAGCGGTTTACCCATATGGGACGTCCTATGATGAGAAACAGACGTGCTAGAAAACTGGCGGGAAAAATACAAGGAACATCTTACATTACAAGCGCCTGAAAAAACACAAGGCGTGGTAACAAGAAGTTTATGGGCCTTCTTTCTCAACTGGACCTCTCTAAATCTTAAATCTTTCGATTTACGCCACATCTGTAAGATATCCCACAAGCTTTTGTCTTTGATTTGGAGGTAGAAAAACAACATGATTTTACATATAAAAAGTTTTTGTTCTGAATGAACTTTCCGACAATACAATGCTCACATTGTTTCAGTGTTTTCTTATTCAGAAACCTAGCAGCACACAAAAAACAAAATGTGTGAAATACTGGTAGCTGTACATACAAGATAATGTAAGTGAAAATAATGAGAGAAAATTCCGATTGTTATGTTTAGTACTCACATTGTAATGCAAGCTATATTCCTATATGTCTGGGACTGAGCCACTTGCTTTTGTTTTCTTAGTCAGGCCATGTTGATTTGATTATATGGATGACATCCGCGCGCGCATGAATTTTCGGCCGTTTCCAAAAAAAAAGTTTTCAACCATACTGTAAATCGTGCAAAACAGTCGCAAAATGAGCAAAAAATATACCATAACTTACAAAAAAATAAAAACTACACCAATGTCGTAGAATGCCAAAATCAAACGAAAAAAGACGAAATTGTAAAGAAATGAACTTGAAGACTAGATTATTCGCCAAACCATATTCTGTGCCATTTGCTCAACCCTCATGACCACGTAGATTTAATAATGAAAACAACTTTTTTTTTTATTTGCACGCGCGCATCAGTTTTGGGGCTCCCGGAGGATGTCATCCATATAATCAAATCAACATGGCCTCAAACAAAATTCATAAAAATCCTTTGTCATTCAGCTCCCTTTGCTATGGATATCTATAAAACTAGAGTCTTTTGCAAGAAATGCTAAAAAAACATTAATCAAGTTTGAGCGAGAGTGTAAATGCAAATGTCCAAATCAACCATTTCTATTTCTTCATTTTCAGAATAAGACCTTCAAGAATCCTGTACAGAAATTGAAAAGAAGGAAATACTCCAATGCTCTAACATTACAAGATAAGGCCATGTTGATTTGATTATATGGATGACATCCTATGGGAACCCCAAAACTGATGCGAGCGTGCGAATAAAAAAAAAGTTCTGCAAAAAAAAAAGTTGCTTTCATTATGAAATCTACGTGGTCATGAAGGTTGAACAAAGGGCACAGAGTATCGTTCTACTCTTCAAATTCATTTCTTTACATTTTCGTCTTTTTTGTTTGATTTTGGCATTCTACGACATTGGTATCGTTTTCAGATATTTTTTTTTGCAACTTACGGTATAAATTTGTTCATTTTGCAACTGTTTTGTATGATTAACAGTATGGTTGAAAACTTTTTTTTTTTGGAAACGGCCGAAAATTCATGCTCGCGCGGATGTCATCCATATACTCAAATCAACATGGCCTAATCTACATTTATACATTTTTTTAGCGTGGTCCAAAACGTTTTCAGTTCTTGATTTGACAAATTCAATGGAAAATCATGAGGAACCTACTAGATACACTAAGTATGTGGGTCACAATTAAACAATTTATTTCATCCTCAGAAGTACTGTTACAATCATTTTTCCAACACCATATTTGAAAGCAGCAGTATGATGTAAAATCAGTATAACCCTAAGTCTTCTTTGACCGTGTTATGGTATACAATAATAATAATAACAACTATGAATAAACTGGTCTAATACATGAACTTTTATCAAAGACATTAGATCTGATATTTGGAAAACATCTGCTGGTGTACTGAACTGCAGTCATGATATTCTGGTCTTATAACCAGGGGTGCCAGAGTATACAGTGCAATTTTACTAGTATACAATTTTACGGAATACAGCACAATGGTATTAGTATACAGTGCAATTTGATGGAATACAGTGCAATTTCGCCAGTATACAGTGCAATTTTACTAGTAAAATCCACTGTATACTAATACGATTACACTGTATTCCGTAAAATTGCACTGTATACTAATACGATTGTACTGTATTCCGTAAAATTGCACTGTATTCCATAAAATTGCACTGTATACTGGCACCCCTGATAACATACACATGCATATGGCCACAAATCCTTGTGATATGCTAATTTTCTTGCTCAACTACTGTGTTAGCTATACTGTACCTTATAGCCCCATATTCATATTGCAAGTCTGTGAACAAAACTGTGTAGTAGACTGTATACATTCAAGAACATACGTATATTGTGACAGATACAGAAAAATATCATGATACTTTTATGGACTTCATTTCATATTCTCTGTGTTATAATTAGGACCTATTAGTATACATATACATTGTCCATGTAATGTCTTTTTTGTTCCTCTATACAGCTGAAAACTACTGTATCTGTTGTAGGGTCTGTGAATAGTTTCATCAGGTTGGTAAGACACAGAGTAAAGAGACACTTTTTACACAACCAAGTCTTTTATTCAGCCAAAGTTTCGGTGACCTGAGCAAGGTGACAGACGGTCACCAAAACATCGGCTGAATAAAAGACTTGGTTGTGTAAAAAAGAGTCTCTTTACTCTATCTAGTGGTTTTACTTTTGCATGGACCTCTTGATAGCGAATTTATGACGATGTACATATACATTCCCTCTGTATCACTACTATACTTCAAACTGTTTCAACCATTGCCAAGATATTCAATCAATTTCTACTCCTTCCCCTATGGAATATGACTGACATTTGCATACACAAAAAAGATGTGCGTAACTTGCAACAACAATCTATTATTATAAGCACCTTTCACCAAAGATCTCTTGCAGTAACTTGAATGTAAAAAAAACGTAGCATAATCTCAACTTGACAAAGAAGTGGTGATGTATTCACTTTAACCACAGTCAGAAAATACAAAATTATGTAGGTGGGTACATATGGCATCATTATCAAACTCAAATACTGTAATATCCCCAAAACTCAAATATAAATGCATTCACAACAAATACTCATGTCATGTAGTGCAGCTACTGTAAGTGCACACTCTTCAAGATTGCATCCAAAGAACATTTCGTAGACATACACATAAAGTGAACAACAAAAAGGCCACTCAAGCAACTGGGCAGATTTTGAAAAATGTAAAACGATTCAAGTTGCATACACTCCTTTTCATCAGTGACTTTAAAAATTCAAAATCTGATTTCTTAAGTAACAATTACCTTGTACATGTATATCTCATCACCTGAATGTCTAACGTTCATCGACATAGGAAAAACTGTTTTCAGATCCTATCCGGTAGCTTGAGTAACAATTTCCTTGTGTATCTCATTACCTGGATGTCTAACCTTCATTGATGTACACAGATCATGGAGCCTTCCATTGAATTTTAAAGCTTTCCATGGAAAGAACTGGGCTAATCAGACAACAGCCGAAGACCACCAAATCCCCAGTTCTGTAAGCCTGCTACGGAGGCTATCCTTGCACAGAAAGCGGAAAAGAGGACATTTTTATGATTCCATCGGTTCGGCAACATCTCCAGATTCCTGAACTTCCGACTCTACAGCAGCTTCAGCTACAGTCTCGCTGACGCCCCCCTCCTCCAAAATGGCCGGCTCACTTGCACCGACTTCGGTCTGTTCCTGCTCTACAGGTGTTTCTGTGTCTCCCCCTTCTGTCGCTGTAGCTTCTGCCTCTGTTGTCCCCTCTGTAGCAGGTGCGGGCCAGGTGGTTGCGCCTTCAGCTGCAGCTGTAGGAAGGATTTGATGACACATTAACATTGTATTTCCGTTTTGAAGAGTTACAAGCTTACCTGAACAAGTATATGGGCTCCCATAAACTAGGAGCCTAGGCCTAGGAAAAAAATGTTGTGTTTCCTGTTTCCCGATCAACCCTAGAAAAAACTGCAGACTCTAGCCTTTTTTTAGGGGTCAACCCCTGCTAGAGACATAAATATTTCAAGCTGATCAACCTTTTCTAGCTCCACCTTTTCTAGCTCCATGATCTGACACCTGAAATAAACGTTGTACAACTGGTTTTCTAACATTGACATTGGAAATAAAAGTGTCCTCATACAGGTTTTACTTTGTTAAACTGTATTGAAGATAAGTTGGATCCATATATAGATATCACTGAAGTCTAAAGAAAAGAAAAAAAAGATAATCCCTACCTACCGAACCCTAATTTTTTCAGGACTGAAACAGGAAACACAACATATTTTTCCCTAGGCCTAAGTGAGGTCCTGAGGGAAGAACTAAGGGCATACCTTCAGCTGCAGCTGTAGGAAGGGTTTCTGTGCCAGGTGCAGGCGGGTCGACCTCGGTACCAGGTGCAGGCGGTTCTGTCTCCGTTCCGGGGGCAGGCGGCTCTCCCTCTGTGCCAGGTGCAGCTGGTTCGGACTCTGTTGTGCCCTCTGTGCCACCTGCAAAATCAGAGAGAGATCTTAACTTCAGGGAATGAAAGTATTTATTACTATTATTAGAATTCAGAGGTCTCCACAGAAATTCTTACGGGAGAGGTGCTCCCTAATCAGTTGAGGAAAAAATAAGAAGAGAAAACTGTAAATTTGAACATTTTGGGAGAGGTGCTAGGATTTTGGGGAGAGGGCGAGCACCTTGGCTTCATTGCTTGGGGAAAGCCCTGGAATTGATTCTTGCATATAAGCCTAGAAATAGTCATGCTTTCAAGTACTAGAGTTTTCAACCAAGGATTGAGGTGTTCAAAAACTTGCTTTTTTCAAGAACTATCGCAGAGTGGAACTCGCTGTCACCAAGTACAGTAGGGGCATTGTCATTAGATAGCTTTAAACAATGTCTAGAGTTACACTGTAGATGTGCAAAGGCTAGGAGTAACAAGTACTGTATTGGTGTAATGTAGCCAGCTGCCACTGTGCAGTGTGCCTGTGAAACTAGCATGTTACACAGAAGGGCGGTTATACCAGCTATACAGATACAGACACTGTACCCCACCAAGGATCTGGAAGCTTTAACCACCAAAGAGAGGGTAATGGAGCAGGGGAAGTACAGCAAACTGAAGTGATGACTGGAGAGAAAGAAGACCCACCTGTGTCTGTGTTTCCGTTCTGCCCAGCTGCAGTTGTTCCTGTTGTAGCTGCTGCTGTAGCTGCTGCCTGCTGCTGGTTAAACCGCAGCTCCGACTCAATCTCTCTCAGCCACACTAAACAAGGTTGACAGAAGAAAAAAAGAAGATATTAGGAAGTAATATAGTAACTAGAAAGGTAATATCTGCAAAGAAAATGCATAATGTCTGCTATGCATATGGTCTGCTCTATTAATTCTTACTCAAACATATAAATGGTCAGACAGGAGTCTAATTAAAATCTGTATAACCCAACACAATCTGTGAAACCCAATCTGATGTAACCCAACACCAGTCACCATGGTGACAGACATCTGGTTCAGGTCATTGACCTTATCGGTTTGGAGAAGAAGAAGAGAAAACAGAGCAAAAACAATATGTTTTCCTTTGGTAAACATAATAAGAAAGTGATATAATACTAACCAGCGATTTCTGCAGTCTGGTCAAAGTTCTCCAGATCCTCACTACTGTCCAGGAATCCCCCCCTGCTGCTCTGTAGGTTCACCAGGTAGTCGGCGATCTTCCTCGCTGACTCGGCGTATTTCTGACTCTCGACGGAACACGAAGCCAGGAGGGCCGAACCCCAGGCAACCTGGTCAGAAAAGACATGAAAGATCAGGGCTCGAAATACTGGGTGCATATGCACCTGTAAAATTTAGGCTGTGCAGGTATTTCTGATATCTACCTGCACCTAACCTGTACTGGGTATATGCAGGTTATATTGGGGACACAAAGTTATTTCAGAAGCCGTAACTTTCTCCATGGGCAACCTGGCATCACACAAAGAAACCAAGACTTGTGTGGCAAAAGTGCAAGAGTGGGTACTGTAGACCACTTTATAGCTGCGGTACATTTGTGGTTTTTGCAGTCACTTCTATACAGCAAATTTATCATTACTACAAACAAATAATTCGCCAACTTTCTTTCTTCTGCACCTGCCTCCCCCACGAACATATCATTCCGTGAACAAGTCCGTTTTCTCTCAGACCACAAAATTTTGCTACTGCAAATATAAAGTGATGTACAGTACTTAAAGCCCTGAACATAGACGGCCAGGACTGGTAGTACCTTGTGACTGTAGGAGAAAGCGTAGATGGACTCGTGGCAGGTTTTGCAGAAGTGGAAGATCTGTTCTGCGCACGTTCGGTACGTCTCATCTCCCGTGGCAGCGTACAGCTTCACGCAGAATGCCATGGGGTAGCCGATCATGAAGAACGCCTGAGAACAACAGAAACATTGATGTTATTCATCCCACATCTTAACTATTGGTACCTTTAATACTAACTAGCAACTACTAGCCGATCATGAAGAACGCCTGAGAACAACAGAACCATTGATATAATTAATCCAATATCTTAATGCCTACAAAGCTGGTGCAGTGGTCGAAATACTTTTTTTCAGTGCTCTGCAATATTGCAGAAGAGTAAAAATTTTGTTCTGCAATTTGGAAATACTTTCTGCAAATACACAAGCCTCCATACTACAATCTTGCAGGTTTATAAGCATGAACTATTGATTCATATGCAAATTAGTGAAGACAAATTTTTGGAAGTCCAAAAAGAAACAAAAGATAAAAAAGTCAAGACAAGGTTGATGCAAATTAGTGAAGAAGCTCCTGTTGTTTCAAAACAGGAGCTTAAGTGTTGTCTGTCCTTGGGGCCAGAAGCCTCAAATCCCAAGTGCCAATTTTTCCTGCTGCAAAATTGCAGATTGTATAAATTTTTCTTCTGCAATCTTGAGAATCTATCTGCAGATTGCAGACTGCAGACAGGTATTTCGAACACTGTGGTGTGTTATGTGAGGGACAGTTTTACAGGCTATACAGATATTCAAAACTATTTACTACATGTAAGTAGTGTTAGTCTCTACAGTAGTTATTCTATATAGCTTGTTTCCTTAGCAAATCTATGAAAGATACTGACTGATATATTTGTTTGTATGTACAAGAACTAAGAAAGAATAAGTATATGTGTGTTTGTGTGAGAAAAAAGCTTGAGTTGTTGAATTTTTAGTTTTCTTGAGTTTTGAAAGTTTCCTACTGATACTGTGCATATTCACTGTCACTTACTCCCAGCCTCTTCAAAGATGTACAATCATGTAGTCTGCACTCAAGGTCTCCATCCAATCAAGAACGGTCTTACAAACTGTCACATTATCTAAGGAGAGGCTGGTGATGTCTGACCTGCTGTGGTTGGTCAGCCTGGATGACATAGAAGTCAGCCGAGTCAGCCTCATAGTTTTTGATGAGTTCTCCATCGTTGCTCATTCGCAGGTAAAACTTGTCCTCCTCCTTCTTCTCCACAAATTTCTTGACAAGTTCTCCGCACAAGCGACCGCACTCGATGTCTCCGAAGTACAGGAATGTGAGGCCGAGGTGGGCAGTGGAGAGAAGATCAACAACATTGTCACTGCCTTCTACGTAAGGACCTGGGGGAAACATATCAGACATGATCAACTGTAGTTACTAGGAGAATGTTGATGCCGTGTAATATTACTGCTGCCTAGTCCAAATTCAATGTCAAGTTGCTGATAAAACCATCATTTTTTGTATCAGTTTTTGTACAGTGAGTACAAGCTGTGTAATACCAGACTGTAAGGTTTGACTCACTCACTTCAGGAAGGACCCCTACTCTTTTCAATAGGTGTGGTGGGATATAAGTTAAATGTGATTGAGATGTGGATCTCTCCCCAAACACAGGACCTCTGGCTTATTCAAGGCAGTCTCAAAAGCAGAAGCAATACTGTCCTGGGTCTGTTGATACTATTTTTCTCAATCCAAAAAAGTAATTTTATATGTCTCTGACACTGTCAGTAACCACATGCACAACCCGCTTATAATTCGAGCAATGGAACTCAGCAGTATAAAAGAAGAGGAAGAAGATTGAATGTGTAAAACATAACAAACCTTTTGTAGTACAGCCGCCGAGTGTAGGATGTAGGAAGGTCTTGAGGTACTGGTAGGCGTATGTGGCCACATCAAACCTGCCCATCCTCAGTGCAGCCATAGCGATCCACCCGTTGGTGTAGCTGTAAAACTCGTTATACGCTCCATTGATGCTCTTCTTTCCTGTGGAAAACATTACAGTCATTTCAATAGTTCAACCAATGACATAAATGTTTCTTTCATTCACACTACTTTTGCTTTATGTGGGATTGTGTGGCTGCTGTGGCATAATGGTAGGGTATTCAGTCCAGAACACTCACTCACTGTCCGGTTTATTGTCTGTTGTTTCCCGTGCAAAGGTCCTTGGTTTGAATCCTAATTGCAAAGGTCCTTGGTTTGAATCCTAATTGCAAAGGTCCTTGGTTCGAATCCTGTAATATCAGCAATCTTGTGCCTTTAGAAAAAACACTTTGCAGGACTTTCATGATTTCACCCAGGTGTAAAAATGGGCACCACCTTACAATACCGTGCCCTAGACACAGTAGCAACCCACTGCCCCTACAGCCTGAAAAAAGGCTAGAGTACTATGTTTAAAGTTAAAACTTTGGTCCAACACAAAAAATTCTCTCACCTAGAGCTTTCAACCAGTCACTCTGGGTGAAAGCTCTAGGTGTTGGACCAAAGTTTTAACTTTAAACATGCAACTACCAACACAGATGAACTTTCATGATAGTGCTAGAGTACTATATTTAGTAATACCTTTTTACTTTTGCAAAAACAAAAATGTCCAAAGTTTCAAAATGGGGGTTGGAAAAGTAAGGAACAGAAGTTTGTGATGATAACCTTACCAGTGTCCATCCCAGGTGAAATGAAATCTCCATCTTCCCTCATGAAGGTTGTCTTGATAAAGTCTAACATTGTGTGAGCCTGAATAGTCGCACCGCCTAGGTAGAACGCCATGGGTGCCCTGAGAGGAAAAAATATTTCAAGAAACACTAGGATAGATTCAAACCATTTGTTATGGCTGTAAACTTTCACCTATCAATATCACTACTATAAAATGGCAAGAGCAAAAGAGAAAGACAAAGCATGTTATGCTGTGAGATGATGTCAAGCTCACAAATTTTTATCCTATGCTTCTTTCTTTCGGTTCAGCATAAGTTTGTGTTTTCTGAGTGTCCAGTTCTGCCTTCTGAAGATGACGTCACACTTTTAACAACCTTAAGTTCAATTTGCTGATCGATCCCAAAGTTTCAAAATCGTCAGGGAATCAGTCATAATTGTAGCTTGGAAATCTATTGTTACACTTGACAGGACTAGGTGACCTGTGAACATCAGCCATTCGTACAAAACCATGCAGTGATCAAGAGAACCCCCACCATATTTATTGCTAAGCAAAAATGTCCTGTACAACTTGAGGCACTTTGAATAAACTATGTTCCTACTGTGTCATGCCAGCTTTACCTAAACTAATAGCTAGAGGCAATGCACACTATGACTGCTGTTTTGGCAGAGGTTTGTGGTCTCTGCAGCTGATTGTAGTTTTGGAAGAGCTTTTGTGGTCTCTGATAGCAGTTTCTGCAAACGTTTGTGGGGTCTCACCACTGTTTCATTTACTAACCTGAAGTAGTAGGCGATGTCTGTGTGTCCGGACTGGAATGTTGGGTCGGAGATTTGAGAGTCCAGAAAGTCCAGAGCGTCGTTACTGGCCTCCAACAGGGACTTCTGACCTGGCTGATCATACTCCTCCTTCTTCTCAACATTTATGGAACTACAGAAGAAAATACATGGATGAATAATATGGTTTCATGGGTTTTTCTAAACAGGGGAATAAGGGCACTGCTCCCTCATGTAACCAGCCAATTTTCAATTGGAACCCTAAGTGGCTACTTACACACCATTTAGTCTTTCTCAACATGATCTTTTCCCAATAAAGATGTAAAAACAATACAACAATGCATTCTAGCATTACAAACTGTGCTACTCTCATTAAAAAATCCCCCCCCTCAGTTTCTTCACTCTGTTGCCATGCTTGCAATCTGCTCCCTCGTGCTAAATTTTTCTAGAAAAAACCCTGATGGTTAGACATCCAGGTGAACAACAGAAAAGAAAGCTACACTATACATGTAGTATCTTCTTAACTTACAGTAAAAGTTACACTTTATATAGTTACAAAACTACTGACTTGTTTTGCTGATATCTGCCCCTGCCCCCTCTGAAGCCACCCCTCTGACCGTAGTTCCCGCGAGGCTGCCAGCCGCGGTTGTTGTAGCCACGACCGCGGTAGTTTCCTCCTCCATGCTGCATCCTGTCAATCATAATTAGCATTCAACCAATGAGAGCAGGGCAATTAGTGGTTCAACCAATGGGAGAATGGCAGTTTGACCAATGAAAAACTGGCTGCATTTCTGTCATATACTAGTGCATTTTTGTTCTTTTGTTTTGCATTTCTACATTTTGATCAGTCTATCAAAAGTCTCTTTGGGTTATCATTGTATTTGATAGATTTCTCATGAGGGAAGGAATAAGAAAATTATTGGAGAAAAAGTTGGTCGATAAGAACAAATGTTAGGAATGAAACTGATGGGCACTGCTTACAAAGACAAAGCAATAAAATAGAGCAATTTGCAATTATGTATACATAGTGATGCATACCAGTTCACTGGACTTGGATCCAGACTTGTAAGAATGTTTAGGTTCAAGTCCAAAAAAACCTAAAGTCAAGAACCAAGTCCGGACTTATTACCATTAAAGACCATTTCACATACCCCTTTTCTTTCCAAACCACCTAAAACCTTCCGTAGATTGTAACATCTTTGATGCAAAATGAAGAAAACATTGCCATCGGGCATCGTCAAGTACTGGCCTCCATGTTATGTGGCCAAAGTTTCACCCAGACAACATTGCAAAGTTGCCAACATCAATTTTGTATATGCCATGGGTTAGGTCCGGACTTACAAGTCCGGAACTGAACCTAAACCTCTGGACTTGAATCCGGACCTGAACCTAAAATTGGGTTTAGGTATGCATCACTATGTATACATTATTATATTAATTTGAGTCCAGACAGTCATATGACAGAAGCAGCATTGAGTTTCTTTGTTGCCAGGTCTTGGACTGTGCAGCAACAGAAATATTTATTCTTGGAATTACCAAAGACAAGCTTGGCAGAAGAAAGAAGTTAGAAGATATGATACAAGGCAGTTCTGTGTAATACTAATCGTACTCACCAAGCAACAAAACTGAGGCAAAAAAAAAACATGCAAAGAAAACAATTAACAAAAAACTGACTCACACCATAACAACAGAAATACACTAAGTGCATTTTCTAACATCAACTTATTGATAGTGCAATAAAAAAAAACTTTATACTGAGACAAAATAAACGTGAAGACGCATTTAACACTCAAATTACAATCAAAAGAAGTATTCTTACTGTGTTTCATAATAGTCTAAATTTTGAGCTCCTGCTACTGTGATGGCTTGAGCTAAAAATAATTTTTAAAACCATGAAAGTACCTTACCTGTTATAATCCATGCCTTGGTCTTGCCTGTAGTAGTTTTGGTAATACTGGTTGTAGTCATAACCCCCGTAACCCCCTCCGTAGTTGTCATATCCACCGCTGTAAGAGTAATCCCCGTAACCCCCATACTGATCCCCGCCTCCGTAGTCTGTGCGTCTGAAAGAGGAATGATAGAATTAGAAATAAAAAAAAAATCTAATAGATAATAAAATCAGTAACTTTTCAATTTTCCCTTTTGCTTCAAAGGTAATATGTTGTACTTTCTGTATCTACATCTATATCTGTATAGCTGAAATAACAGCTATTTGGCATAACACACCAGCTTCGCAGGCACACAGCTAGATGGGAGAACTTTGCGGCTGGGGTTCGAACCCAGAACCTTCAGATCTAATTCTTACCACATACAATACCACCATTTGTTTGATTTGATTTAATTTGATTTATTGAAATCGCAACAGTGTAATACACGCAGGACACAGGCAGCTGTTGCTGGTGTTGTGTACCACACATAGACATAAATACAGGACAGACAATAATCATTTTCACTTGAGTTTAGTGGGGAAAGTTGTGTAAAGTGCCTTTCCCAAGGGCACAAGATCGGTGGCATGTCAGGACTTGAACCCGGGACCTCTTGATTCTGAGTCAAGCATGCTGCCATTGCGCCACATGAGTCCACTCCATCTCCATCTTGTTCTCTATCTCTAGTGTTCTTGCTTACCTGCGCTTGAAGTCGGTAGGCCCCCCTCCTCGGCCGCCTCTGTTGCCATCGCTGGAGTAGTTGTTGGACCAGCCGCCGCGAGAAAAGCCCCCACCTCCCTCGGGTCTGTCGTACGGACGACGTTTACTAGTGGAATGCTGTTGTGTAAAAGAACATTTTGGCATTGAACATGCATGATAGTATATCTAAGGATTTTATATTTGCTAGCAAATGCAAAGGATTTCTCTCATCTTTTCCAGTAGTATTGTCTGAAATATATTTGTGACTACATCATGCACTCTACCAGCCCTTACACTAGTCAGGCCTCTAGAAACTTGATGACCAACACCTCTAAGTCAGAAGAATTGGGAATATCTTAATCCTTTTGATTTATATGTCTGTCTGCTACCATAGTGTTGAAGGATGACTGGTTTCTATCCTGAGCTTCAACTGTATTTATTTTTATAGAGATAAAAATCCTAAGTCTCCTATTGGAAGTTCTGGGAATGCTTCTCTTGTGATAGAGTTGTGGAGGAGGCCCAATCAGCCCCTGGTGGTGAGAGATTGCATAACACAGTCTAAACATGGCCTAACAGGGTATCTACGTTTTGAGTAACTTACCTGAACAAGTATGTGGGTTCCCATGAACTCACTACCGTTTAGAGCGAGCACAGCCTTCTCTGCACAGGACATGTCCTTCATGTGCTGGGAAAGGATCAAAGAGATCATAAACAAACTTGCCTTATCCACATTCCATTACTATACGGACTGTGAACCTTTCTTTCTTTATTTGTGAGAAGCTCAAATCGGCCTGCATGCCTCTTTTATTGAGGTCATGAGGGAAGAGGTAAGGGTCAAACAAATATTCATAATCATATAACTTTCACAATTGAGGTTCAACCAATGGTAACATGGCAATTAGTTGCTCAAGCAATGAATAAGAGAGTAGCTTTTTATGATTTTACTTTGCGCTTCTCCATTTTGGAGATAGGCAGAAGGGCTACGGGTCTATTTTGCTCTGAAACCCTACTTACAATATTACATGAACATTTCATTACGTACAGCAAATTTGATTCCTGCTTACCACAAATGCATAGACCTTAGTTGCATCCCTCAGCACGTCACACTCTGTCACCTGCCCGAAGGAGTCAAACGTGGCATGCAGCAAACTTTGGTCTGCGTGCGGCGGCAGGTTCCCCACGTAAATCTTCGCCATACCCCAGGATCAACCTCACCGAGGCCTCTGCGAAAGACCAAGAGAAAACAATTAGAAATACTCTTTCACAGGACCAAAACAAAACCTACCAACGAAAGATGTTTTTCTTTCCACGTTGCCCGGAAAGAGCAGTCTTGAAGAATCCAATGTGGCAGACACGGCTACCATTTTAAAAATTGTTACTGGGCGTCCTTTGAGCTTGTTGTAGTTGTATATTGAAAATTTGAAAATCTTATAACTTCTTTTTCTAGTTTGCAGGAGAAGAGAAGTTGCAGCCAACACATTTAGATGTTAGTTCACTCCACAGAATAGTTTTTACCTTCTTTCCTTTGTGAGTACCTTTTCCTGCTTATCTATGAGTATTTCTAAGCAAAATGTCCAAGAAAATTGCCCTGTAAGTCAATGCAAAGTGTTTCTTCTTTGCTGTACGTTTATTTTCTTCATTTAGGGCAATAAGTTGTGATGGAACAGTACGATTGGAGAGATCTCTTCAGCGTTTACCGTCACTATTTATGAACACGTAATTCACAATAATTGTGAATGTATAGACACCTGTGAGGGTAAAACGTTGGTATTTAGTCAACAAATCAACACACCTTAACGTTCATGTACAAGTGTATTCGCCAGCGCAGGCAATCGTACGTGGGCAGAGCATTATAATAAGCTAGAACGGACGAGTGGCAGTAACGTCTACCACTTGGATTTTCGAACGTGGCGCCCTACTTGAGTAACCCATCACTGCAGTCTTCGTGATCAGTCGACGCGTAAAACGAGACTGCACCAAGAAATCCGATACCCAACCTCGAAACTGGACCATACCAGCCTTCGACTCCGTTTATTATAACGTAGGTAAGTACAACGCTCCATCGACAAGGACGGAAGGCCGCCCTCGATCGATTCGGAGACGATTCAACCCGAGGTACGTACGAGAGATTGGCGAAGGGTTAAAGGAATGTACAATGTTATATTATATACTGGGGTCATCACGACACAAGGGTCTTACCCATACACGTAGGTGGTAGTTGTAGGAGGTGTCTTTATTACCCACACTGTCTTGTCGCTCCTCTCTGGAGTAGGGCCTCTTAAGCGACTTGAAAGCCCTGAAATAAATGTGTGTTACATGACAAAAATCACTCGACAGTTCTTTCTACACTAAGCCGTAGTACCATACGTGTCTTCGCTCTAAGTTAGTCGTGGGTACCAGGACGATGTTCAGACAACGATTGCCTGGTGGTGATTCGATTATCGAGCAAGGACCGCTGGTACGATATCGTGCCAAGAAGACGCAAGTGTGTACGGCGTACGTAATACGAGAGGCGTTCAAGAACCGACTTCGATTGATACATAAGGCAACGACGCCCCCTTTTCACCAACTTACTCCGTTCCAGATTGGCGTTGACGGCGCCCAAACAAAGAATCAAGCGGTAAGACATTCAGGAACGAACCTGTGACCTGTGTGATGGCGTCCATGTTCCCAAGGGTGTGTCACTTGGTGTGGGGACTAAAACTGAACAGGCAGGATCCAACAGCTTCCAGCAACAGCAAGACAGTCGAAGGCACACATTATATCATCTGTACTGTGACTGTATCTCTTTTATGTATGTGTACCACAGATGTTGTATTTCACACTTAATTGCGGTTATCTACAGTCTATGCTATTGTCATTATGTTTAAGGGTTGTCGTCATTTTGCTCTAAATTTCTTCGATTACGTTCGTAGGTTTAATTTTAATTCAGGAATAATGCTTTCGGCTAAATCTGATGACTAAATTCAATAGCTAAAACCCGACGCTTAACATTTCTTTGCATATCTTACAATTAAATGCAGAGACGCCTGGCCTGAAAGGTTAAGCTAGTTCATATTTAACCTAGGGCTCATGTAGCTTATACTAAATCTCCAAGCAGATCTTGGGGGGGGGGGGCTATAACCTAATTCTACTTCTACTTTACGATGCAGTACTATTACGAGTTTGTCACCAACGCAAACGCCACGCAAAGTGTATTATTGTATGATTATATATGCCTTATTTCACACAAACGCCCCACCCACGAACAGCACAGAACGTTACATGTACACTTGTAGTAGATGCACGATTTATCGAACTGAAATATTCTAACCAAAACAAGACGTGTTTATTTTACTAATTTTCTCATTTCGGTCCTGTATGGAGAAAGTGATCATGTTAGGCAAGGTAGAAACTATCTAGAGTTACAGTTTATTCGGTAACGGGTCCGCCTAAATGCCGAGAACGCAGCGCGAAGAGAGAGAAAACCAACAACCCAACGTCCCGGGTTCTAATCTTGTATGTTCACACACAGAACATGGCGGACTGCCTCGACCTAAAACGTGACTAAAATCGCGAACGATTTTGCTGGTTAGAAGAAAAAAACGACGTATTTCTCACGGGAGACGGTTGGTTTACGTTTGTGTGCGACATTCTGATCCGATTTCATGCAGTTTCTGACAGAAAATGCAAGAAACTCACCTCAAAAACGGCAGGAACTGTGTCTGGTTTCGGACGACACTCCTCTTTTTGGAGCCTTGCACTTCCGTCCTGTCACTGTACAAGATAAATAGCAGAAAATTTGTGCTGCCGATTCGTACATCTACCAAGTGAATTTTTACAGATAGATTAGATATATGTAGCTTTTTGTGAGTGTTGGAAATGTATTATACAATTATTATAATCTATAAGGTTATTAATCCAACAAAAGTATTCAATTTTACATAATTTATCATCGTCGAATGTTGTTATAAATGCGGTGCTGTTTTTGAAAGAACCAATCGTGGGGGCTCTTTTGTGGTAGTTTTGTGATCCCCACTTTTAATCTCAACTCAAGTATTTTTATGATCTATGTAGACCTTGTCATGGCTTATCTACTTTTAGAAAGTTTTGGCATATTGATGTCAACTTTCTGAGGTAAAGGATGCTTTCCTGCAACAGCTACAAATTATGTGACCGGTGTTCTTATAACCGCCATAAAGAGCCTTTGATAAGGAAGCAGTGATCTCGCCCCCCTCCCCAAAGACGGCAAGATGCTCCAGGACTCGTGTTCAAGATTTTGGCTAATTTAGGACGTTGTAGGTGATTTCTTCTAGCTACAGCTCTGCAAAATAAGAAGAGAATGTCCAGTAGGGACTATCACCGAGATCGGGGGGACAGGCAAGGGGAAGACAACCTACCCGCCATGCATACCATCTTCCAAGGAGAGGTATGAAAATTTTTGTTTTGTTGTTGTTTTCTGAACTTGAACATAGTTTATCTGACTCAAAATTCAAACCAATACTTGCATTTGTTTTCTAATATGAAGTGATGATCACACATACCCAAAATTAGACTAGGGTGCATGAAATACTTTTGTTTTGTACATTGAAAACAAAATTCCCTCAATAAGACAAGAATGCACCAGTCAAATTATTCATTTCTCTTTTGGGGAGGGGGGTTGCTTGCCAGTATGTACTTGCCGGTACTGTTCTTTTTTTCAGTCATTTTGACAACAAAATTTTGCATGGTTCGTTGCCCCAACTTTGTGATACAGGTACTGAAGTTTTCATTTTTGCATAAGCCATAAGCCCACCTTAGTGAAAGATGTCAGTGATTTTGAAAGTGCTATAATGTAGTTGCTGTTCTTATCGTCATCTCATCATTTTGTATTTTTACACAGGTTGTTTCACTGCAGCCATATGGGTGTTTTATCAAGATCCCAGGATGCAAGAAAAATGGTTCGTGTTGGCTTTATTTTCATGGGTTTTGCAGGGGAAAAGTCCATTAAAGTTTAACAGTGGGGTTCAAGCACCACTAACTGATCCATTCCATTGGGTGCGGTCCTTTTGGCGTAGTGGTTAACGCGCTGGTGTCGTAAGCTGGCTGCCTGGGTTCGGCGCAGGTTTGATTCCCAGTGTCTGGTTTTCCTGTTTTAATTGTATTAATTTTTTTTTCTTCTTCAGGTTTGGTACACAAGTCTCAGATGTCAGCATCTCGAGTAGAAGACCCGAAGGAGGTTGTAGACATGGGAGACAGGGTGTACTGTAAAGTCATCTCACTCGGGGTAAGTTACTTAAGCCAGTAGTATCTTTAAAAAGTTAAAGGCATCTGGTTACCAGACATATTAAAGCTCCTGAGTCCTACATCTTGCAGAGAGGATGTAGGACTCTAGCTAGGTGGCTAAAATAGGCCTGGTAACCAGGCTAATCTTGTCCTTCTCCAATAATTACTTTTTTGGGGGCGGCACTGGTTAAAAAGAATTTTTTATGTATCTTGTCCTGAGCAGGAAGGAGGCAACGGGAAGATCTCCCTCTCCATGAAGGTCGTTAACCAAGGAGATGGGCACGACCTTGACCCCAACAATGTTGCTATTAGGTGGGTCACTATGGTTCGCTACATTAACATGTGCTCTTAATAAAAAGACATTGGGGTATGTGTGGTTTTGAGTGACCCTGGTTCATGGACCAAGAGGTTAGGGGTTTGAATTTGGATGTTGTTGCTCACAGTTTTTAGTCCTTCAAACGTTCTATGCCATTTTGTATACACAGTGGAGTATCCTTGGTAAACTGACAAATAAAATGTAATTTGAGTAGAAAGAAAGTTTGAGAGGTCTTGTATGAATTATGTTGCAAATAGATGTAACATTGCAAGCTCTCTTGTTTTAGTATGGAAGAACAGCGGAAGAGAAACCCCAAGAGTTATGAGCGACAGAAAATTACCCTTGGAGCCGTGCTGAACACAACTTGCAGAAAATGTGGTGGAAAAGGTAGGCAACATTTTTACATGAGGCTTATGTGGCTTTGTTGTTTTTTAGAAAGATAATACATGACATTGACTTTTGTTTGTTTTTAGGTCACATGGCTCAGGATTGTTTCAGTGGCGCGGATGGGAAGAAGTACGAACTCTTGCCAGAGGAAGATGAAACAACGTCCACACAACAGTCAGCTCCACAGACCTCTCAGGAATCCAAGAAAAGGAAGAAGAAAAAGAAGGTGGGTGTGAAAAATTGTTGTAACCACAAATTTGAAATACCATAAAAATCTTCTTTTCCTTTCTACTGAGAGTGAATGAATTTACAGTATACATGTACTGTGTTTCTTAGTGCATCTGGGAGATATGAAAATAGAAACAAAGAAATAAGTTACAGCAACAAGCGTGCATCACATTTATAATTTTTGATACTTCACACAATTACAGAAAGTTTTCTTTAAAAAATCTGAGTTTTTGTACTTTGGGTGTATATTTGGCTGTGTCATCATCTGGGTCAGCCTTTAATTGTTCTTCTTATTTCTCCAGGAAAAAAAGCACAAGAAGTCGAAGAAGAAGCACAAGCGTCACTCTGACGACAGCAGCTCTGAAGACTCCAGCTCAGATGAGGAAGACCGACACAGAAAAAGACATAAACACAAGCACAAGAAGGAACACAAAAAGGCGCGAGCGAGCGACTCTGATTCAGACAGTGACTCGGATGATAGAAGTCACAAAAGACACAAGAAGCACAAGAGATAGTCTTTTTATGACACTGTAGAATGTTAGTGAAAGATTCAGTACACTGTCCTGAACCCCGAACACTAGTATTGTTTCACTGACATTACTGTCCCTGTCCTTGGTGCTGAATGATGATCACACAACACAAAAGACACAAGAAGCACAAGAGATAGTCTTTTTATGACACTGTAGAATGATCACACATTCAAATGCCTGTTAGTGAAAGATTCAGTACACTGTCCTGAATAGTAACATTGTTTCACTGACATTCCTGTCCTTGGTACTGAATGTTGTTCACACTGACATTGCTATCCCTGTCCTTGGTACTGAATGGTGATCACATGGACATTGCTGTCCCTGTCCTTGGTACTGAATGATCACATGGACACTGCTTGATGATGTTCACATGGATATGGCTATCCCTGTCCTTGGTACTGAATCATGTTTTCACTGATATTGGCTGGTAACAAAAAATACTCGCATATGAATGTTTTTGTGTGAGAATAAATAAAACTTAACTGTAGTTTGTTAGGCTAGACCAAGTGAAGGTAAACAATATCCGTTTGCTTGCCGAATGACATTTTTCTAATGCTGTACATATCCTATAAATAAACTTTACTGCTTTTTAAAGCTCCATATGCATATGTCATTTTTCTAAATCAAAAACTGGTGTACTTTCTACATAATACACTGTTTCAACATCAGCAAATTTTTCTTGTGCCATCCTTATACGTTTACCCTAGAAATATATTGATATAACTACAAAGCACTTAGCGCTTGAACTCACACTTTAAGAAAATACAAGCTCAACTTTTCTACTTGCTTGGTATGTGTGATGCAGCTATGCTCAATAATGTGTTTTGCACAGAGGAAATCCATCCATGCATATACATACAATCCAAGCAATGCTAGCATGACCAAATCAGCATTTTTTTTAGAAACCCAACACTATTTGAGGGAAAAACTCATAACAAAGTTAACGGGGACACATGGCGTGCCTTCCCCCGTCCACGGGGACCTGGGCGCCGGTTATGAAGGACGCGTCTGACGAGGCCAGGAAGGCGATGGTCTTCGCAACTTCGGAAACGTCTCCGACCCTCCCCAGGGCATGGGTGGTCTTAGAATGTTCCAGAAACTAGAAAAAAAAAGCAACATCAATGTTTATTATGTTTACCAAAGGAAATCATATTGTTTTTGCTCAGTTTCTTCTTCTTCTCCAAACAGTGACCTCAATGACTTGGACCAATGTTGTGTCTGTTACCATGGTAACTAGTGTTGGGTTACATCATGTTGCAATTTTATAGCAGGAGGGATTTAGACTCCTGTCTGATTATATATATGAAAGTGTTTGAGTAAGAATTAACAGAGCAGAGTTAATATTTAGAAAGTTACTTGTATTAACACAACATTATAACAAGGAGGTTCCTTGATCATAATATTTTTGTCCATAATATTATGAAAATTGAGGAGGATATTACCTTGGCATATCTTTCTTCATCAAGTCCAGCCCTCCTGTGCACATCTGTTATGATCACGCCAGGGCTGTGAAGAGATATTAAAGAATATCCAGGAGTCATCATACATATACAAGATACTGCACCTGTGCAGCATGATGCATTGTTGTATTGGGACTGACTGTATTGGGTAATATGTCAAGGTTGAAGGCATGGTCTAGACAAGAACTGGAAAGTTAAACTTACTTGACAGAGTTGACTCTGATTTGCTTGGAAGCTAGTTCTGAAATATGAAAAGAGATTATGTCAGCTGTATGGTGCCTAATTTATGTTTGGTGACTTGATTGCTCCCAGTTATATCTGAATTCTGGTCCAATTGCCTTGAATATAAAGTAAAATCAAACTGAAAAAAGAAACAAACATTTAGTTTTACTCACCAAGTGCAACACATCTTGTAAACTGGTCCACAGCTGACTTGCTCATACAGTAGGCCAGAAGTCCAGCAAACTGTAAGTCATTAAATCATAACTTATTAGTAGAGCTGTGTACCGGTACGCAGTACCGATACTGTACCGGAAAAATTGATTAGGTACAGGTCCAAAATACCTAATCCCTCAGCACCGGTACTGTACCTAAACAATTTCACACCAATTTTATGCCTATATGTGACCTCAAATGTGTAAATAGCTGGTCCACAATGGGTCTCTGTGTAAGGACAGTGTGTTCATGAAAATAAAAACATCTTAGTTTTGCCTATATTTTATCTGAGCATTCGCCATAAACAAAGAATAAACCTTAACTATCGAGTTTATTAATTTTTTTTGTTATTGAAGGAGTTCAAAAGAGCATATAAATTGGTCGAATTGTTCAGGTACAGGTTCAGGTCCGGACCTGTACCTAAACCTGTGTACCTGTACCTGTACCTAAAATTTGTTTAGGTACACAGCTCTACTTATTAGATAACATCAATATCATTACAAACTATGGATCCAATTAAAATATTGGCTTAAGAACTTGAAAATTTATAGACTCTTTGTTACGGAGAAAAAGTACTAGTATAACTTGCAACTTAGAATTTTCAGGACGTTCAGTTGACTTACCGCTCGCATGCCATTAACACTGGACACATTCACAATGGAACCTGGGAGTGGCAAAAGAAATAACTCAAGTTTCAATTAAGATTCAACAAATTATCATGCATTGAAAACTTCATGATAGGCAACACAAAAACATACATGGACTTAAACACTACAGAGTGAAAAAAATTGCCTTATTGTATATATAGTACATGAAAGAATGTATTTCTAGCCCTACTTTGCTTCATTCCATAACCAAAGTATCTTAACTAAGTTCTCAGAATAATGTGTCTTTACACATACACACATCCACACACACACACACACACACATACATACAAATACACACACACTCACATGCACACACACACAAACAAACATTCAAAAAGAACATTACCTTTAGTTTTTATGAGGTGTGGCACACATAACTGAGTCAAGGCCACCATACTGCGAACGTTAACGTTCATCAGTTTGTCATACTCCGCCATGTCTGTTGTCTCAATACTTGCCAGGTGGGCAATTCCTGCACTGTTCACCTATATGGAAATTGCATTGAATACTGTCAATCTTGAACCTTTTGCAGTGGTCACATTGAAACAATATACCAACTAGAAAGGTAACATTTGCAAAGCAAATGCATAATGTTTACTTTTGCATACGGTCTACTCTGTTAATTCTTACTCAAACACATTCATATACATGTATATGGTGAGAGCAGTCTAAATCCCTCCTGCTATAAAATTGCAACATGATGTAACCCAACACCAGTTACCATGGTGATGTCATTGACCTTATTTGTTTGGAGAAATAGAGGAAGAAACTGAGCCAAACAGATATGGAGTACAAAATCATTTCAGATGATACAATGTTGTTATTGCATAGACTGATCCCCATCCAACTCCTTCAAAATGTAGAAATGCAAAATAACAACATAAAATGTAAATATTTGATGGGAATGTAGCCTCTCTCTCATTGGTCGAACTGCTAATTGCTATGCTCTCATTGGTTGAACTGCTAATTGCCATGCTCTCATTGGACAGACAGTTTTTCATACCAGCACATCTATCTTGCCAAACGTCTGGACAGTTTGTTCCACCAGGTTTTTCTGCACTTGTTCTTCGCAGATGTCTCCTATTACAAGCAGGATCTGAAAGAAGAAGAAATCAGAGGGTTACGACAATGTCAATGATGTACACTAAATGATCCTGTCATAAGCACAATCTAATTGGAGAAAAACAAGAGATGTTAGTGAAAATAAAGTTGTCTCAATGATCAATTACTACAATCCCAAGTTCAAAAAGTTGCAAAACCGAATGTGTTTGAAAACTCTTTATGAATATGTCCATTCTATGTAATCTTTCCATACTATAGCTGTAATGATGAACAACATATGAACATATCAGAAAAAGCTTAACTATAGAATTTAAGACATAGAAATGTGATAAAGAAACAAACTAACAAGTACCTTGTCTTCTGGAGTCCCTGCCTCCACACAGGCCTTTGCTGTGGCCTGCAGGTTTTCCTGGTTTCTCCCAGTCAGAGCCAGGTGCGCTCCCAGCTGAGCAAATTCCACAGCTGTCCCCTTCCCGATGCCAGAACTTGCACCTGAAGTGTTGAAAAGACAAAAATGTACTTAAGTTATACAATAATGAACTTAATTGACGCAACAAAAGTACAGCGACTTTCATAAGGTCTAAAACTACATGTAAACATACAGGCAGATACGTGGGCACAACAAAATTAACCTACATTCAACTTGTGACAATAGATGAATCAACTTATACAACTTCTATGGTCTAAACATTCTTTTATATATTTACCTATTTGTACACAGTAAAGGGTTATTACACCTTCTACTAAAGTGAAAAAGTACAAGTATGAAATTCTTTCTGTAATGGTAAAATAGTCAGGATACAATGTTCAGGAAACTTTTCAATTAACAACAATTGTTGATTTTATCATATATTGCCACAATTACAAATTCAAAGAAAGTCATTGCAAAGCTTGTCAGCAAACATACATGCATGTTTATAAATCAAAGAGGACACGCCCCCCTCCCCACTCCGGGGCCATACAACATTTTTTAAAATACAAGTATCGAACACACCGAAAGATCCCGTCTACTTACCTGTGATGATGGCCACCTTTTCTTTCAAGTCAGGCATCTTTTGGTGGAAGACTTTGAGTCACTTAGACACTGAAACAAAGTGTTCTTTTCTTGGTTTTCACAAAGACCAAGTTTCAAGTTGCAAGTTTCCCTTACTTTTTATGGTGGCACGATAGCATCAAACCATCAACAAATACTTCTAGCAAAATTCGTCCAAAAGCGATTTGAATAATAAACTTTAACGTTAGTAACATTTTTATAAGCCCATCTACATATTAGTAAAGTCAGGAAATCGAATTTCTACGCATGTTGCGTGAAGCTAAGTTTGTTGCTTTTCTTTTTTATTTGCGTTTAGTTGCAGTTAGTTCATTGGGGGTCATTGACCTAAAGTTCACGGCCGCGTCCATATGCAATAACTTTAAGGAAATTGATAAGGTGTGATTTATCTTTATATAATGTATGTGGTCTAACTAATAACAGAACGATATTACTAGTAATTCATCTATCTATGATAATTAATCATATATAAATTGAAACACAGATAAAAAGGTGCAGGCCGTACACCCCTATATGACAATGGTAGTGCTCAAGCGGAAGCGGAAATGACCTCACCCTTGCAGACGACATCCCCGACCGTGTGACTCACATTCCGGACATTTTCACTCCCGATTTAGACACGATTTTCCACGTTTCTCTTAAGATTGTCGGAAACCCTTCAAATCAAACATGCAGGTGAGTTCTTCAGGAAGATTTCTTGTCATAAAGTAGCTAGCTTTGGCGGTCAGTTCTCTAAAATGTCGAATCTATGTGCACATGTTGTCCAGATAATTTTGTTGTAACGTTACTAGATCTTACTACTTGGCTATGTAAAAACGTTGCGTTTCTCTTTCTTAAAATCTATAAAGTTATGGTAATACCGCAATTCCTATAAAAATTGCTATTCTACGTAGTCATATTAGCCCTTTCGTGGCATATTCTGTAGATATTTTGCACGGTTCAATTTTTATGTCGACGATGAATTATACGGTATAATTTGGGGAGGGGGGCACAAATATGACGGCTGTCTGGTAATGACCATATATGGTAACAAAATGGCTCCCCGATGACTTGAGTTGAACAGCTGATTAGGAACAGGTCATCAGCTAATTATAAACACAACTTCATCAACACAGTCTACAGATATTGTATGAATACTATATTGTATAATACTTTACCTCTGCTGTAGATGTAGATCCATTGTGGAATCCACAACTTACATATATTTCTAGAAAATTCTCAACCCCTAGCCTAGGTGCCCACATGCCCTTTTCCGTAATAGCATACTTGGGCTTTTCAATTTTTTTTAATTCATAGACAACTTCTGTAATTCAATGTAATAAAGCTGTCAAATTTCTACTATTTTAAAGCCTAACGTAATGCTACAGAATGTGTATGAGTGAGTGAGTGAGTGAGTGGGCGAGCGAGCGAGCGAGTGAATGTTTATAGGTTGGTACTGTCTTTTGTTGTTTCCTTGTAAAAGCCCATCTATCACTAAAATGTTATAATTCTATCCCCCTCAGAACCCAGATGAAGACACGGAGTGGAACGACATCCTGCGTAAGAAGGGAATTCTTCCCAAGAAGGAGAAACCAGAGATCACAGAGCAGCAGCTGGAGGACATGATCGTGGAGAGACTCCTCGAAAAACAGCGTAGGTCTTCTACTATAGATTCATATTCTTTAATTCAGTGGGCAATGTTTTTGTACGTAGGATTTTAGTTTTATTCTATACAAAGCTTCTTGGCTTAGAAGGTAGACCTTCAGTGTTGAGTGGTAAGCGATTGGTGTCTGTGGTAGACTCTAACTTCTAAGACCACAGTTAAGTGGTCAGTTAAGGTCATGAGTTAATGAGTTGATGAGTCATTAAACACAGTTAATGAGTTTAAGTCATGGTTAGACAAACATTGGAAGAGCCTAAAGTACAGCACATGAGTAACATACTTGACCGGGATTACTACAGGCGAAGCCTCCTCATCTTGAAGCTATGATGATCTTGAAGATGGTATAAAGGTATACACTGTAGTATTTGTGTTATGTTGTTGCCATACATTGTACCATGTACTACAAATTGTCATGCAATAAAGTTCTTCTTCTGCATTTTGTATACAACTGTTATACATTTTATACATGTACTACCCTCCTTGAATCCTGTTGTTGATAAACAGTTGTTTATCTATCTCCCCAGATAAGAAGGTAGAAGACATGACGTTAGAGGAGCTGGAGGAACAGGAAGATGAGGAGGATGAGAGAGTCATCGAGGCCTACAGGTGAGGTCTTACCGCTTTTGTATCCAGAGCCTAACTAGTATCTTCATGTAGTTCTATGCCTAAATGAGTTAGTAGTTAGTGTTAGGATCAGGCAAACACTTTGCAGTGGGGCCCTGGACACAGAACACATTGAAAACATACATGTACAAATAATACAAGAAACAAAATAATATGGCAAAACGTACCGAAAGTACTTACAGGACAAAACAAACATATATAAAAATCTACAAACTTTGAGGACAAATAAACACACAAACACACAAATCCATACTCATAGACCATTTGTCATTAAGTCAGCGTTTGAACTTGAAGGAAGAAACAGTAGTAGCTGCTTTGATAGTCTGTGGAATCTCATTCCAGCTAACAGCTAATATTGCCATGTGCTGATGTTTCCCCCCCAGGAGACAGTGTATAGCTGAGTTGATGGCAGCTGGTTTGATTTAGTCCTTTATTTTCTGGGTGGTACCCTAAAAATCAATTCAGCTCCTTCCAGTAACCGTTTTTCGTCAGAATTTTGGACATTTTGGTGATGTTGGTGTCTCGTTTTTTTCTCCTCCAGGAGACAGCGTATAGCTGAGATGATGGCTGCAGCTGCCAAGGCGAAGTACGGGGAGGTGCGGGAGATCTCAGCTAACGACTGGGTCGACCAGGTCAACAAGGCAGGCGACGGCGTCTGGGTCATACTACATCTATACAAACAGGGGTCAGCTTTTTTTTTAAATACGTGTATTTTATTTATGTGGGGTCATGTGACGTAATGGCAGAGTGCTCGACTTGGATCCAATTGTGAGGTCCTGGGTTCGAGTCCTGACATGCCACCGATCTTGTGCCCTTGGGAAAGGCACTTTGTTGTTACAAGACTTTCCTCACGTAACTCAAATAAAAATGAGTATTGTCTGTCCTGCATTTGTCTCTCTGTGCGGGACACAACACCAGCAACAGCTGCCTGTGTTCCACATGTATTGCATTCTTACAATTTTAATAAATTGAATCAAATCAATTTAGAATTGCAACATCGCAATAGCTGATATCAGGCAACACATTGAACAAAATGATAAAGTCTCTTAATGTTAATATCTACGGGGATAACATTGCGATGGAGAAAAAGTGGCCGTTATGACCAGATGTCTGGCTTTTAGAGGTGGTCGCTTGGGCAAGTTTGACCGTATTTAAAAGCGTCTTCCTCAGTTGGCATAGCTAATGTTATCTTTTCCACCTTTCTCTGTTCCAGAATCCCCCTGTGTGCCCTCGTCAACAGGCATCTAGACATCCTCTCCATGAAGTTTCCACAGACCAAGTTCCTGCGCAGCATCTCGACCGTCTGTATACCCAACTACCCTGACAAGAACCTGCCCACCGTGTTCGTGTACTACCAGGGCGAGATGAAGGCTCAGCTGATTGGTCCGTTTGAATTCGGAGGGATGAATCTGACACAGGATGGTACATTATCATGAAAGTTCATCTGTATTGGTAGTTATCATAGTAGAATGTTGAACTTTATTCCAACACTAAGTTAAACTACACAGAGATCAAATCTGACACAGGATGGTAGGTATGCTACTAAAGGCAATCCAGTTTCAGGGCAGCAAAACAAAAGATATTCTAGATAAGGGCTAGGAAAAAAATGTTGGTGTTTCCTGTTTCCCGACCAACCCTAAAAAGAACTGCCGACCCTAGTCTTTTTTGCGTAGACCCCTGCAAGGACATATTTTTCGATCTAATTGACCAATTCTACACTGTAGCTCCACGATCTGACACGTGAGTGGTAAAATGTACAATCGGTTTTCCAACTTGTATAAGTTGGACCCCTATCACTTAAGTCTAAAAAAGAAAAGAAAAAAAAAAGAAAATCCCCACCTACCGACCTAATTTTTTCAGGACTAAGACAGGAAACACAACATTTTTTTCCCTAGGCCTAAACATAGCTGTCCTTGCTGACACATTTATCTGCCTGTCCCATCACAGAGTTGGAGTGGAAGCTGTCCAAATCAGGTGCCATTAAAACCACGCTAGAAGAGGACCCAACCCCCAAGATAGAGGACAAAATGATGTCCTCAGTAAAACAGGCAGTCGGACGACCCTCACAGGACGACTCCAGTGATGATGATGATGACTGGTAGCCAACTTTTGACCTTCGTTTGTTCATTTGTTTGACCTTGAACTCATCTGTACAGTTTTTGTTGACAATTTTTGATAGTGATTAATATTTCTGTAGATATTTAAGCGAAAAAGTAGAAAATCAGTCTTTTGTAAAAAAAATCTGGCAACTTTGGTTCTTGTTGTCTCTAGATGACTCTATAAGTTGCCAGTTTTTAAATTATGCATGACCATGTTTTTCCACAGAATACATTTTTAAAATTTGCATTTTTAAGAAACAGAGCCTATCATAGAAGAAGTAAAAAGGACTTACTCTTGGATGGTCTCCTGAAATGATAATGATTAGAGAGACAGGAAGAAAATTGACTTTTTGTATTGTCCTATTGTTACATAATGCAACTTTTTAAAGCAGCATTATGTAACATAGGACAATACAAAAAGTAAAAATGCCCCTATACATAACATTACATGTACATTTTGTATCTCTGAGATGCTAAATGTATTAGTCCAAGCCTGTTACCTTTCTTTGATATACTGCATGTATCTTGCTCTTAATTTAGATACAACAATGTTCAAAGCTGCAATCATGACTGTGTGCAACCAGCCAATCTGCAATAAAATTTGATAACTATATTTTGTACACTCACTCACTCACTCACTCACTCACTATCCAGGATTTGATTATACTGCTGCTGTTGTCCCTGCCACAGGGGTGGGCAGCAGTCGGCTAATGGTAGCTTTATTTTGTACTTGGACGTGGTTATTGACCAAAAGGGTGACCAAGCACAAGATAGGAAGGCAATCTTGTCAAATGCACCCCTGTGCATCTTACCCCAACAGAGGGATGTTGCACAGTATACCTCAAGAAGAGGAAGAAGAAGAAGATAGCAGGCATTGGCCAGAGTCTTGCAACATCTTGGCCACTGAATGCTCCGGTGGAAGGGTGATGACACTTTACCTTGTAGTTCAAGCTACAACTGCAAGAGGTCATCATAGAATAGCTTACTACATGTACTACTATACAGTCTTATTGATTGGTATCAAACTTTATGTACGCTTGGCCCATATTAATTTTCTACATCAGCCTGTCTCCGTGTTATTTTTCCTTGTCTTTCAAGCTAAAACTGCAAGAGGTCAACTTTGGCTAGCTTACCACATGTACTACAGTGTTATTTATGGACAATCCTTATCATATTTTATGTACACTTGCCCCACATTAATTTTCTACACACGCCTGTTACGTTCTTCCTTGCAATTCATGCTAAAACTGCAAGAGGTCCTCCTTGGCTATCCTTGTTTTATGAGGTGTCATATTTCATGGTAAGACTGTAACGGTATTCTTGTTGGCCTACATCCATTCCCAACATCCGCCCTGCATGCCCTTCCGGTGCACAGTCACACAAAGCTCACGTTTCTTGCTCAGGAAGTTTCAGATGACCATATGCATGTTCTGTTTTTCTACGGACTACATATGGTTTCTGAGAAGCCGAAGTGCTCTCCAAAATAAAATAAAAAATTACAAGCAAATCCTAGTCTGCAAGAAACAGTATCAAATTGGCCAGCAGAGAGGGTTCAATACGCCAAACAGTTCGCACGTACTTGTAGAACGACTGTGATGTGTTGTTGGAGTGATGCATTGATGTTATGATTAAAAAAAACAAGCAACCATTTTCCGTCAGCGACATCGCATTTTTGCCTCACAGTTTTTTCTATTCAACTTACTACATTAAAAGAATGACCAGCAAATTGACTTTGAAACAATCCATTTCTGCCGCCCAGCATTGCACTGAATCCTGAATGCCTTAAACGGGGCTGCCCCAACTTTATGTACTTGTATGACTGTACATTGAAGTATCCACCCGGCCTTTATTTACCAAGGGAATATTTCGCTCGCTGCCATATTGATGTTTATATAACCCTTCTGAAATGTCACTCAGGATGTTTTTATCTAGTCTGATTTCTGAGAAGGGTTTAATCGTTAGAGTAACAATATGAGTCACTTGTTCAGGCGCGTCGCACATTGCCGACCGAGTTTTACAGTCCCAGTAAACTTTATCCAGGCCACAGTAAGTAAATTGTATGGATGCCACCGTACGCAGACTACAAAGATAATGCGATAGGGCGAAAAAAACAATGCCGACAAAAAAAAGATTCTTAACGTTTTTAAATTGTGAGATTACCAATGTTGTTAAACAAGAATTGAGGCTATAACATATCAGCACCAACAAGTATGCTATTCTTGTTATATCAGTATTACCTGTCCTTCTATATGTGTATACATATCAATTATCTAGAAAAAACTGTAGAAAACAGCTTGTCGTACCATCGTGGTTACACAGCTACTACACTGGGTATTCATATGCGACGGAACACCTTAGACTGTCAACACTTGCCATCAAAGGCGAGCGAGCAATTGTGCCTCAAGTTTACTGGATCCCCGATGGTCTCTGAACCGAAAGACATTTACTACATACTTACCCATTTTCGGCATGGCCAACAAATTTTCTTCTTTTTTTTCGAAATCAGGTGAAAATTAATGCACGCGTTGATGTTTTCCATAAAACTGACTTGCAATGGCCGTAAGCACGTTGACCTCAGAACTGTGTCGCCTACAGGCTATATAAACACATGGCCGTGTGTTTGTGTGTCACTCTCACAAGCGTCTACACTTGTGGTAAGTGGCTCTGTCTTTGCTAAAGCATTACATAGCTTTGAAAATGCGCTTTCAGTTATTTGTATGACAGGATCACAACTTTGTAGTCAGAATGTTGGACTTTCCACTTCAGAGAATCCATTCACGCAAGACTTAAAGTGTGGGTTAAGGTACCTTTTTTCCACTCGCGGGTGTCCTTACGCAGGCTTTAACATGTGCTTAAGATATAAAGTTTCATGCAGTGAAATCGCCACAGTACGTTCACTGTTTGGACGCCATTATAGAAGGAATAGAGTTAGTGTAGCTAGCGTGTACAAAATTCACGATGGACCGAATAGCTAGAAAAGTGTGCTGCTTGGATGCCTGATTATGTTTGCCTCCGCAGAAGGAAAACATATAATATTGTTCTTCCAGCTGAGTTTCTGACGTCTGTCACCATGGCAACTAGTACTGTAGCATTGTTGAGTCACCATATATGTGAATGTGTTTGAGTAAGAATAAACATTGCAATATTTTATAGACCACGTGAAGCATGCATTAATTTGCTTCGTAAATGTTACTTTTCTAGTTTTATTTTTTATATTTTTTATCAACGTGTCCTTGAATCACCGCTACGGCACAAACAACAAGTTCTAATCATGACAAGGCCATGTCAGATAACGTAAAACTCATCAGAACGTAACGAACCAGAGTCGGGCTCACTGGCGCCAGGTCATTGCGTTTTCTCATCAAAATATAATTTGTGCTGGATTGTAGTCATTACATACAAGATATCTCACTGCGCGGCACGCAGTCATATATGTCGGCAAAAAAAAGAAAATAGTTAAAAAACCTCCTGTCTCTCTTGTCTAGTTTTCACTCTTTTTTTGATTTTGTTATACCCCAATTAAAAACGGGCTTGATTACATATAGGTTTGGTAATGGAATCTACCGCTATAGTAATTGCGCTGATTTGATTATGGATGGATATCGTGATCTTACGCAAACCCCAGTGGGCCCTAGATATCTGTTGTGATTCTGTTGAACTTAGTCCAAGGACACTGCACAGAATCTATTCATATTCATATCTTAAGGTGTGCAACTATGTTTTATTGAAAAACAATAAAAAGGCAAGGACACAGTGGGACTGCACTCAAGTTATACACTTATTTTAACAGCCCCACTTAATATGGAACTTAAAATGGAAGCAGATACATGTGAAGAAAAACTCCCTCCCCATACAATATAATGTAAACAGCAAAATGATTGCTAATAAACCAAAGGAATTACAGCTGGAAACGACTATGTCTAATCATCATGTCTGGTATACTTCAGAAATGTTAGTCTAAACAGTATGGAACTATGGATACATTTGATATCATTCATTTCCATTCATTTGATTTATTATGTTTCTATATTATGCATCTTCTGGGCATAGCCGTAACGCAATTGTATTTATTTACGGTATCACTGATTAAAACTGCAAGGTAAATTTATCACCAACAGTTTATCTTATTACTAACAGCCTCTCAATGTCAATTATCCTAAGGTTATAGTTATTAAGTGATTTTCTAACGGAACGACATGTGAGATTAATTTATTATATTAGATTCAATACGGATAATCGTATAGAATAGAATTCTCATGTCCCTTTAGATATCTCTATCTCTAACTGGGTCCCGGGTTCGAGTCCAGACATGCCGTCGTCCCTGTGCCCTTGCAAGGCACTTAACACGAATTTCCTCACTTTGCTCAGGTGAAAATGATCATTGTATTGCCCCGTAGAACGTACTGCGCGTGCGCGAAACCCTGATTTTTAACGGATTTCGTTGGATGTTTGGTCCCGTTGCATCAGAATTTTGCCTGTTGCAGAGGATATCTTCTCCGACATAACATTTGAAAACCACGGAAAGGATGTTAACCTTATATACGTGAATACAACCTTATATTAGACATTCTGCCGAAGTGCTATGCACAATACATTACAGGTTTCGCACAGGTGCGGTATGTTCTGCCGACGTGCTAGTCAAAGGCAAGTTCTGTCATAGACTCACTGACAACTGTAGGACGAAAAAAAACCCTACGACTCCGTCTTAAGAGATTAGTGTCACCTTATAAGGTTAGGACGTGCCTAGGTGTGCATACCTGTAACCCACCTGCCGACAGGTGACAGGTAGGACTATCCATTATCTGAGCACAGGAATGCAGACAGGCCAGTTCATTCTGGTTTCTGGAGATGAATCAGTCGTGTTTACCTTAAAGGTATCCAATGCAATTTTAGGGCGGCAAAACTGGAAATATGCTGAGTAAGGCAATCTGTATGTTATTGACCCATACTGTCCCAGGGACGATTTTGCGGCCGAGGGACTTTGCCGGGAGGGACGGTTTCGCCGTATTGTTGGGCGTCAAAACCGTCTCTCCGAAGTCCCTCGGCGGCAAAACCGTCCCTCAGTGCGGAATAACTCGCGTCGTTCCCCGAAACAAATTAACGCCGCCGCTGCCTCACAAGTCTGTAGCCTGGGCACCATCC